AGTTGGTCGTCTAACGCATCATTATCTAAACGCGAATTCGTTGAACTATTTGGGTACTAGGTTAACGCGATAGGTACAGTCGCCAGCAAACTTTGGTGTTCTGTCAAAACTTGTCCATCTCGGAGATCGGCAGTTTTCAAGGCAACCCAGCAATTTTTAATCAATCTAACTTCGTCAGGTGACGTACCGACAATTGGGACGTTTGAAAATCGTACTAGCGAGGAATAAACGGTGGTTAGAACAGAGAGCCAATGGCAGTTCTTTGTTTCCCGAGCATTAGGAATCTAACCCAAGAGAACCTCTACTGTGCCTTGTTCAAAGACAGTAGACCTACTCTAGCATTAATATCCCATGCTCAAGTCACGATAGCAGCTTGATTCACATTATGCACGAGGTTATGTAGCTTATAGCTAAATAATTATTTGATCGAATCCCGAAGTATATCGCGACGATAAAGTTGCATCTGTCTATTTCGCAAAATCCTTTAAGTCTCATAGTGTACAACCGACTATCCAATCCAGCAAGTTGGCTTCAGCTCTTTCACTACGATTGTCTTATATGGAAAGATGCAAAACATCATAGCAGCATAATCGTTCACAAATCCTTCTATTTACCCTTTTCTGTTTATTTGGTCTGACGAGCACGTCCTCCTCTGATTGTAAGCGAACCTGCCGGTTTTAGAACAACTTTGAGTAGTTTTTCAGCGTTTAAAAAGCGTGAAGTGCTATAATCCAGATGAAGACACTGTTCAACGTCTCAACACTTAGTGTTTTTAGAAACATTAGGCATTTGAAAATTCGGGAAACTCTGAAAGCCCAGAACCGTCGATCAGTTAGAAACGCAACTGAAGGGACTACAGTGACCTTAAATAACTATGCATAGGACAAGCCCACAACAAATCTTGCTAATGAGTTGCAGTTCCATTGCCTAAATCGGGCTGAACAACCAGACACTATCTTGGTGAATAGCTTTTGTTTCTCTCGTGGCTTTGCGAACGATTAACTCCACAGATGGAGGGAGAGAGGAAATTTGTTAATAAATTTTTGGGGAAATATCGATCGAAGGTTGTGTGTGTACCGATATGAGATGACGGGGAAGGTACCAAGCAAGCAAGAAAGACGAGCAGAAGAATTACAGTAAAATATAGTATGATCAGAAGGCAATCGCTGGATCGACCCGATGAATAACAACGGAACTTTACACTGCACAATGTACCGATTGAACTGACGAGCACACCATGAGCCGCAAGGCTGACCAGCTCATATCAAATGAAGGAAATAGAGTCGTTCACCATTCGGTAATGCGTCGGTGGAGCATTAGATAGCGATGAGTCTCTCCTGATAGAGAACCAGTAACAATAAGTACAGCAGATCATCAAATGAATGTCCGTGTTGTTTGAACTGCATAACGCAGAACGTTGTGCAGGAGCGGAGTAGAACAAAATGTTCCAACCCCATCGAGAGATCACATAGCTGGGTCAGCAAGCACATGAACCTTCGGTCGAAGGTGGCGGTTCTGACGACTCAATAGAAACACCTCTTTTGGGGGCCTGACTTGCGCGAAACACGGGATCTTGAAGGATCTGAGTGAAAAAAATAAAGGTGGAAAGATACTTTGCTAATATATATAATGTGATTTTATAACAAGGATACTAAAATTGGGTAACAAATTGACACCCAAGGAGTGAGGCTAATGTAATAATAACATTACACAGAGCCTGTGTTCATAAATTCGCAAGGGATTAAACATGAACGAATTTAATTTCAATAACTAAGAGCTTACAAGTTGGTCATCGTCCGTGTAGCACAAGGGTAAGGGTTTCAACTCTCAACCAGAAGGTTAGTGATTCGAGTCCCGAAAGGAATGGAGAAATGACGCGTATCGCTAAAGAAACTGAACAACTAATCGCTGACTGTTGTTGTCCGTCACATCCCTTTATTGTAACCCGATAGGTTACCCGTAAAATTCCTTTCATCTTTTATTCGAGTGAACCACACCTTACAGGGGAAAAGGTTGGCTGCTAGGCAATGACCTCGCATAAGGCGTATTGCCTCTGTGACTCTTAGACTACTTCATAGTTAAATCATTTGCGGTTCAGTTCAATTCGGCTCGCACAACCACTTTCGTCCAACGGCTTTCACGTCTTTTTGCAACCAATGTGATCGAGTATTGGGGTGTAGAGGTAAACGCAAAATTAGAGAATCCTGAACAGGATAATGCTGTCGACTTTGAAAAAGGGTTGTGAGAAGAATGAGCACAAAAACGAGCGTTAACGCTTGCAACATTAAAACAAATCATCAAGTTTCGGATTATATACCGGTGGTGGTGGTTGAATGTGTTAGTCGCTACCACTAATGAACATCGGCCCATAAAGTCAGAGTTTCGAATCCCGTCGATTTGAAGCTTCCATTAACAATTTGATGCTGACAACACTCCGCGTGAACGACACAGTCCTCGTCTAAGCACACTTACGAGTCATGAACTTCGCATCCTTGTACAAATTATTGCTAACCCACATCGAAACATAACAGCTGCTCGCGTATCAATACCTGCCTATCATGATGCTTGGCTTTGATTGCACTTGGTTTTGCCAAGCCATTTCAATCCGAAAAGGTGGATCTCAAAGGGTGCTAACATTGCCGATCCATGAATGGTGTCGCAGAGGAATTAATCTCCATTATTCAACCGTCGTAAGTATGTTGTTCCGTCCGGCATGCGCTTTGCACTTTCAAAGTGCAAAGTGATGCTGCAAGACTGAATGTCGCCGAGTCCGTTCAGATGGACCGGGATTAGCTGAAGTTGACTGTTTATCGCAGTTGGGTAGGTGTATGACCAACGACGGTAGTGAATCAAAGGGAATAACCACCGGAATTTCCAAATCTCGAACACGGAAGCAGGACTAAAACACCTGTGGCGACGACATGCCGTTTCATCAAAGTTGAAAAGTCGCGCGTGGCGCGCCACTGTACGATCAGTTCTGCTTTACGGTTGTGAAATCTTGAATTTGAGGGTAGAAGACACCCGTTGCCTAGTGGTTTTTGACAATCGACTCTTCCGCGGTCTAGTCCAAGTAGGATGGAGTGAGCGCGTTAGTAACCTAGAAGTAAGGCGTCAGATATGTAGGAATGCATCAAAGAATAACTCACTAACGCATGGAATTCAGCTCAATAGACTTCATTGGTCAGGACAAGTTTACGAGTATCTGACGATCGCTTACCGCACCGCATCTTATTTACAGTAGCTGCTACAGATTGGAGAAAGACACGTGACGTGGAGACGAGGTATGAAGAAATGCACGGAGCGATTAGGTAGAGTAGGTGTCTCTCGTCTTCCAGGTTGGGGTCAAAAAGACTGAAACTGCATGGTTGGAAACACTAAAAGCCATGGCAAAAAGCCGACAGCAGTAACGATCTTGTCAGAATGCTTGAAATTGTGTGTATGCACAGTTGGACTGTGTAGTCTGTGTTGACCATAGAATTTTGTTTCTCCTCCGTCCCTAAAATTAGGCCCAGACTTCATTATCCTTTCACAATCTCGCCTTATGAATATGGTAACGATCAATGATGTTCACTTCACTGTATTTACCTTTACGACGACGATGCTGCTGATGTAAACATGCTCTCTGTCATGCAGATGCTTTCGAGCTTTGCGGTCGTTTTGAGTTTTTGAAATATGTACGCTGTAGCGGGGTAATCAATGTTCAAAGTTACCAAAAAGAAAAGGTGGATATTTTGACCATGAAAGAAACATGAAAAGAGAGTAGTCAATATCCTCAATTTTTGCCGGGCAACCTCTACTTGTAGCCGTTTTTAGTTGACAGTTTTCTTTTCTCGCCTCTTTCCCATAAGTTTCATGATTCATCCTTACACGATGGACGTGATCACTGAATTACGGATATCAGCTAACTTCATCAAACAGTGCTGCTAAAGGAAGCAGGACAGGTTAAATTACTAACTTGTTTTCAACACCAAATCACAAACTTACTAGAACTAGGAACGTTTAGATAGTTATTAGTCAGATACACTCCTTACCTACATCTATTTTCTAAACTAAGTGGACAAAGTTCGACTTTACCTATTAAGGATAAGAAACCTTTGGCTAGTAATCAGGGAATACCATTTTGCACCGTCAAACATCTTCATTTCACGAAACAATGACGACGGGAAAACTCTTTGAACAGAAGTAGTAAATCTGCACCTTCGGAAGTTAACTTCCACTTTTCTTATTACCATGCTTTTAATGAGCTCGAATAAACCGGAAAAAATATCGTACGATAATCTATTGTTTTCCTGCTCCAATCAAATAAATTTTTTTTGGCTTTCCACTACTACTAGCCTAAGCTAGCGGTAACTAACTTACAGCCTTCTACGATCTTTCAGAATATACGCTGTGTAACTCTACTCATCTTGGTTCTGCTTTTACCGAAGATTTAATAAGAAAGGAAACAAACGCTATTATTCATGGAAGGTCCTTCTCAATTACTGAACACTAAAGCAACACTTTTGCGAATTCCTAAATGTCAAACATCGAACATTTTTGATACTCCCAGATAAGAACACAAGTCGGAAGGCGAACAATTATTTTCAGCGGTTAATAATCCTGTTTGTACTGGTCATACTAGGGTTTGTTGTTACTGGGGTCATGTCTTCACGCTTGGTCAGCATCAACATCACCAACGCTGTGTTCGGTACAGGCAGGACGGTGAATGATTAAAAATATTTGTTTGTCATCAGACGTGTGTTCAGGTGTTGCAGTGGGTTTATCCTTTATTAATCCGAAATGTTATAACCTAAATTGTTGGGAGAAACGAGGTCCAAGATTGAGAAAAAATTATATTCTTGGGCCAAATTCAAAAGAGAGTATAGCTGCCAGCAATGCCATTTTAGGTGACGCACTTCACGTCAGCCACAGCACAAATGACTATTGAATTGAGATCGCGTTCGGTGAAATTATCTGCGTAGCACGCAAGTTAAGACACCATCACAATGAGGTAAAACTTTTTAGTGCAAACACGGTACCTTGCGTGCTAGTTCCACAAATGCATCCTGAACGTTCTCGTCCGTTCGGGCACTAGTCTCGAGGAAAATCATACCGATGCTGCGTGCAAACTCAGACCCCTCACGTTTGCTAACCTGACGGTCTTCCTGAAAAAACGGGCAAATCAAATTGGGAAATAGTGTGCAAAACAAAACAAACCAAATCAACTTTATTGCCGATAAGCATTTTTACAAGATTCTGTTCAGTGAACTGCTCCGACTGCTCTAGCCAATATTTGGTGCTAGCAAGCGACTTGGACGATGTCACATCGTACACTGATTAATGATGAACAGGGAGAGATAGAGAGAGAAAATGAAAAGGATTAGCAAACACGCGTACCGTAAAATGCCCCGTTGGCACCCCGATAAAAAGACGGAGTCAAGCTACCATTGAATCTCTCCGAACCAGCAGTGTCCTACACGAGAGGTATGAAGGAAAACAACAACAGCAAAGTACCCATATGTTGAACTGAACCATTTCTCCGTCAATCATCATATTCAGTGGTTTGAAATCAAAGCCGATCGTTGGCATTTCATCAACGAAAAACTTTTTCTCAACAAAGCGTCGAGCTAGGCTAAAAGACAATTGTCACGATGAATACTGACACTCACCTGGACTTTCCTACACCCGAATCGCCGAGGAGTAACAGTTTGATGCGAACGGGTTCGGGCTCTGTCATAGTTGGATACGCTAAAAATCAAAAATTTAAATCAACAAAAAGATAGACGCAACATTGTATAGGAAAACTTATGAAAATCGATGATGACGATATGCTTGAAAACAAAAATGCAACCCATAGTGGTTCCGTTCATGTATCAGTTTCAGTTTGAACAACCATTAACCATGCACTTTCGTGCGCCGGTTTAGGTTGCTGTCTTTTGGCTGCCCATTTAGATGAAGAATAGGAGAAGAAAGGAAAGTTGAAAGTGGATTCGAACAGAAAATGGAGAAGTTTAGTGTCTAAGGTTGCAAAGAAATTGAGAAGAT